TCGGGTATGCAGTATTGTAGTCCATTTAATTATAGTATAAGAAAGTGCAAGTTTTAAGTTGTTAAAATTACCGTTGATTTTTTTAATTTTTTTTTGTTGGGGTGTTGCTGTTTTTTCCCATACAAAAAAAAATGTTCATGTGTTATATGGAAGAAAATGCGAACACCCTCCACAAAAAAAATTCTAAAAAATCAACGGTAATTTTTAACGACTAGAAACTTGGACTTTAGTGTACTTGATTGAATGGACTACAAAGCTGCCTACCCTAAAATTTTTTAAATATTCTAATTAAGAATTTTCAAATTTTTATAAAAATTTTTTGAAGTATGATTAATTATTTTGCAATTTGTACAAGCTTTTAAACTTTTATTATTGTGGTTTCTGTTATAGATTGAATTATATTTTAATCGAAATTATTAAAAATAAATAAATAAACATAATTTGAAAACAATATCATTTTGAATTTCGTCGCTACATAATTAGTTGATCGCATCTGTATGTACTACAAGCATCCATATGCGCATGCCTGGGAAATGGATTTGCATTTGACTCCAGGACTATTATTTACAAATAATATCTACGAGTATTGCAGTAAAACTCAAAAACAACTTTGAAGTTAACAAGTGCACTGCTTTGTACATTTTTTTTGTTAATGCGTCCATCTTTAAAGTGAGTTTGTGAAAAAACTAAGGCAGCTAGAAAACTGGGATTTGTTGCATTGAAAATAGCGTAGCAACTACAATAAGAATCGTTAAAAAAAAAAACCAAATGCCGACGGCAAATCACCAATGAGTTTGCATATTTGCATAGCTTTCACATATTTATTAAATAACAAATCTACGTTTTGGAGTTAAAGCATTCCCTGGCATATATCTTCGAAAATTTATTTTCTTTAATTTAACCAAGAATTTTCATCTTTTTTTTATTAAATCAATGCCGCGAAAAAAAACCAAACCAAAGTACTTAACATTGATACAAATTAACAAATTTGTATCTCGGCTCTGCGGTTAACTTGCCGCTCAGATCTGTTAATTTGCCACTCTCAATTTTCGATTCGAGTGGTGAACTTCTAGAGCGTTTTTGATAGTGTTTGACAATTCACACGGCTATTCGTAATCGCTGCTTATCTGTATTTAACGTTCTCTGGCCAATACAAGAATGAAAGTGAAGGTGAGTACGTAAATAGATTAAGAAATGTATAAAGGCGAAGGTAAAAATAAAAACAAACAAAGATTCGCAAGGATAAATGCAAAAATGAAGATCAAGGTAAGTTTAAACACTTTACTCATATAAGAGCAAAGGTGAAGGGGAATATGTAGATGAAGAAAATGGTAAACAAAAATAAATATTAGAAAAAGATGAGGATGAGGATACCGATAAAAGGAAAAATGAAGATAGAAGAAGAGAGCTTAAAATAAAGGTAGTTATAAAGAAAAGGATGTGTATGTAGATAGACACAGACTCAACCTGGGAACTATTTCGGGATCTTCGGTATTCTCGGGAGCTATCGATATAATAATCGATATTTTTATCGATTTGCGTACTAATATTTTTATAGATTTTGTTATCAATATTTTTTTATCTATTTGGGTATTCTCGGGAGCTATCGTTATAATAATCGATATTTTTATCGATTTGCGTACTAATATTTTTTATAGATTTTGTTATCAATATTTTTTATCTATTTGGGTATCGATATTTGTATCGACTTTGTTATAATTATTTTTATTAATTTTGTCATCGTTATTTTTATCGATTTTATTATCGATATTGGTATCGACTTTGCTATCTATATTTTTTATCGAATTCGTTATCTATAATTTTATTGGGTTTGTTATCGATATTTTTCGATATATGTTATTATCGATTTTGTTATCGATACACATGATGTGACATCATATGATAGAACATCACATCTTATGACGTCATTTGGCATGACATGATATCCTATCCTATCACTTCACATTACATCACATGAAATCACATCACATTGCATCGCATTACCTGACATCACAACACAGAGCATTTTATCACGTCATCGCACCTCACATCATCTATGTGAATATGTAGACGAAGAAAAGGATATAGTTAAAGGTATAACAGATAAAAACAAAGATGAAGACCAAGTTAAATTTAAAAACTTAACTTTTATAAGAACAATAGAGTATAAAGATAAAAATAAAGATAAAGGAGAACAGAATAGCATAAATATAATTAGAACGAAAAGGCTAGAGGTAGGGATCTAGATAGAAAAAAGATAAAATATAACCTTAAACAAATTGTCGTTTAAAGTACAAAACCGCGTATCAACAAAATGTCAAACCGCTAATCAAGATAATGCAAAACCGCGTATGGGGTAGCTTAAATTATTTTCTAGAGAGTAAAAACACTTATATTTCAAAATAAGTTTCTTTTTTATAAAGCAATCGCGTTTCTGGCTAGTATATTTCAGAACGAATGGAGAAGGATTGAGCCAAGAGCTTGTATGAGCAAATCCAATTTTTGGCAGGAAATGTCAGTTACGCGGTTTTGCAGAATTACGATACGCGGTTTCGTACTTTATACGACGAAATGTATATGTACATATGTATAGTAATAATCTTATTTTTAATATGTTTTGAATAAAATACTGGGGGACATTCCCGAAATTTTTTGCCATACTTACGATGGTGCAGTGATAAACTCACTTGCTTTTATTAACTTATTTCTTGTCATTCGATCAATAACTTTTTGCGCATCTTAACTGCAATGCACTTAGGAAAGCAAAACCACTAATGTTAATATCATGGAAAATTAAAAATTCGGAGGGGCAATAGGAATAGAAAGCCACGCTTATCCTCATACAATTTTTCAGGCAAAAATATAATAAAACAAAAGTTATTGTAGCCAATCACAAACAGTTACGCATTTTTTAATTGTTTGTTTAAATTTTTGGAGTAGGTATAGTACATTCATCAAAGAAATACCGTTCGCAAAAGAAAACAAAACGGCTTACAATAATAAAAAAATAGCTTTGTTGGTGGTTCAATATTTGGNGAAAACAAAACGGCTTACAATAATAAAAAAACAGCTTTGTTGGTGGTTCAATATTTGTATCGTATAATGCTGGTTTTGATTTTTTTGTTTTTACCACCACAAAATAATTTAAAAAGGGGGACTAAAAATAGCACTTTGGAAACGACCCATTTATATTTGCGGCCGAGCTTTTTCTCCAATTTCAGTAGCCCGTTTCTGTAACTTTTCTCTACCGATTATTTCTCTACTGGTAGAGAAAATCCGTCCCTCTCACCTACTAATTAGCAGTAGATAACAGGGCGGCGAATTCATATCTCAATTCGCCTTGGTAGAGAATTGTTACAGAAACGAGCTACAGGTGTTGTCATACCAAATTGGAACCAAAAATCTTACGTCTCTTCTTAAGGTCAGTTGAGATTTTTAAGAACTGTTTGTGAACCTGTGTCGGACTGAGTGGTAACAGGGTAGCTAGAATTATCAATTACATCAAATACATGGCAATCCAATCTACTCGCATTATCGTCTTTGACAGAAGTAGCGATTCCAGAATAGTAAGGCAAGGCTGTAAATAGTAATAGTAAAGTAAGACCATTGGTTCAACTTGATGATGTTGTGCTCAAAATTGCAACGATTGTTAGGCCGTTAAATGAACTTGTGTCTTAGTTGTATGAAAGATAAAAAAATTTTGATTTTCCGGCAAGTTGTTCAACTCGTCGCAACGTTAAGGCCAACTTAGAGGTGCCATGACCATAACGCCTTAGCCATAATGTAGCGAAATACTTCAGAGCCGCTTATGGTTATGGCGAAAAACTAAAATAAGATAGATACCTACGGTTATGGTTATGGCTCTGGCGTTATAATATGGCACCAATAATCGTTTACAGAGCTGCGCGTACGTTTTATCGGAACGTTTATTGTTATGGTTATGGTTATGGCTATGGTAGGGCACCACCAATTCAGCCTTTAATAGGCATGTTATACAACGTCATTCTATATATTTTGTGTTTATTTTCGTGGTAACCACGCCGTAAAAAACATTATATGGTAGTTTTGTATTTTCACTAAACCCAAAATGGATAACGCACCCGAAGTGCATGTTTTTGTTAAATTTCATAAATGTATGTATGCCGAAACTATGAAATTGTAAAAATGATATTGTGCAAAATTGTAATGTTTGTGGGCAAAACGATTACGATTGATTGGCTACGAATTGATTTGAACCAACGGTTGCAACGTTTATGGCTGATCGAGCTTGAGATTAGTGTGTTTTGGCATTATCAACCGAGTAAATGTACCAGAATAATACCTGTAATTCCTATGACTCACTAAAGCAAACAAGTATAAATTTAAGTAGTAGTTTTAATATTCAATGTTCTTTTATTTACAAATATGTATGTATGTATGTACATATACATATGTACATACATATAGAACAGTTTTTCTTTCTTTGATATTTTACTTTAGATCATTTGATAAAATCCGGTACGATAGAATTGTAAATACAGATGTACATATGTATGTATGTATCAGTGAAAATATAATAAAATATATAAATAAGAGATTTAAAACCTGATCTTTTGATTAAAAAAAGAAAAGCTTAACTGACAAACTACAAATATACAAATCGCATAGATTATTACACATAACTAATTACAAGTTAAAGGTTTAAAATGAGAACAATTATTGAGAAGTAGGAAGATGCTATTTGTTTCCGCTCAAGTTATACAGCGTTTTTCGTTGAATCTTTTGTTTTAAATAAATTAAGACAGTTAAAATTATCTTTAAAAAGATTATTTTGATTGGCATTATAGATGAGTTAATTACAACCGACATAGCTGCAGTTTGGTACCCACAAAAGAATGTACTTGCATCGTTTTAATGTAATAAAGATGTCTTTTCTGTTAAAACCACAATCCGTATTTTCGATTCCTTTAACAGAATTATCGCCGTAAACATAGTGGTTAACTCACGTGCATATGTACATACATTGAACTATTACTAACCTTCAGTTGTAAATAAATTACAATACTTATTTCGGTTTTATAATCTTACAGTGGAATTTCACTTCGATATTTAAACATTCTACAAAACTAGCTTCTCCGTTTTTTACTAAGTATATATAGCGTTTTATCGTTTTTTTTTTTTTTTTTAATTTAAACCCTTTATGTTGGCATTCACTTTTGATTTCACTTAACATTGTTACTCTTTTGACTCTTTGCCACCCGGTGTGTTTAAAGGCTTCACACCAAGTCAACTCGCGGGCGGAATTGTAATCGCAGTGGTGGATCTCTGAAACGCCAGCGTGTCACATAAACAAACTTTAGTGTATGGTCTTTACCCAACAATTCCTCATTGCACAGTATGTCGATCTGAAAATAAACCGTAAAACTGTTAAGTATATACTTATTATTGCTTTACATGTAAATTTTAAACATAACTAAATTTTGTACAATCAACTTTATATTAATTGTAGCCTATGATGCAATAATTTAAGGTGTTGTACGTTGCAACAGCTCGAATTCGAATTGTATTTTGGAAGTTCAAGAAAAACGGAAAGAAAAAAGCCATTTAGTGGAAAAAGTACTAAATTTCATACCTTCTTAACAGCGCACAGTGCCGCCTAAGTGAGCATAAATCGAAACATTCGTTGTCTGCAATGTGAACGTGTTTGGTATTTTTGTAAAGGTAATTTTTCCACTAAAAAGAATAAAGCAGAAATTTCCCTATAAAATAAATGATATGCCGCCCGGAAGCCACTGAACTCAACAAATTTAATACTAAGAATTTTACTCGAAGCATAGCCATGCGCTAGCTCATCACGGAAATAAATATCAAAAAAACATTGCTTGAAATAAAATGTTGTTTTGACGTTTTTTATTTCCGTATATATGGTAGATAAGAATAAAAATTTTGGAAAAAAATTAAACACAAGGTGTCCTTACGGTATTCCAGAAAAAAACATTTTGTTTTAATACAAATTTCGAAAATGGGCAGTTTTAATGGAATTAATAAAAAACATATGTCAAAATAGGTTTTATTTATTACTTTATTTAATTGTAAGGTTTTTTAGCTTCCAAAATAGAAAATAAAAAGCTGCTAATTTTTTGCACTTTTTGAAATAATGCGTTTTTTGCTAATGCAAAATCCATCAAATAAGCACGATTAAAAAGCTTGACCTAAAATAAGGGTTTATTTTTTTAGGTAAAATATTAAATTCAAATTATTTAAGAAGTTAAATGGATTATTAAAATATTGGTATCAATCGAAATGGGTGTGAAAAGGGTTTATATCTTAACTACATGCAACAGGGTTGCCACCTGTTTAAAAAATCGACTTCCATTTGTATTAAGGGAATTAGGTAATTGAAATACATAGGTATCACCATATGGGAGTCAGAGGTTTAAGAAGGTCACAGCTTATAAATATTTTGAAGGGGGTTGCCAGTAAAGTAAAATTTAGTTAAACTAAAATAATAATTGTATCACACCAAAGGTTTACGACATCGTATTTGTTATTTTATTACAAAAACATACATTGTCAATCAGTGATTTGTTCTGATTACATTCCTTTTAAATTACTGGACTCTTAAATTAACCCAGGAATGTTTTTACTCTTCACTTATTTCTTGATACCTATGCCCAATGTTTTCTTGTGTCTGATATCCATACTGATAAACATATTTCAGTGACCTTATTGCCTTAATTAAACTGAATTTCATTTTTTAAACATGGGGCAACATTTCTACGTATCGTTTAGAAGTAAAGCATTTTCAAAGCCATTTCAATTGATACCCTTATTGTAATATCTAATTCATTCAACTTATTAATTAATTTTAATAAAATTTGTAACAGGTGGCAACCAATTTCAAAAGAAATAAAACTTTATTGCACATCTGCAGGACATTGGACACCTCTCTTTAAAATAGAGCGAATTATATATACATACCTATGTATGTAAATGCTACAAGAACCCAAATTTTCAACTTAAAACTGCATTTACAGTGGAAGTATGAAAGTTATCAAAAAACCAATTGCATTTCTGAATTCAGCGCTTTCAAGTTCATTAAGACACAAATTTTCATTCAAATCCGTTCACAAACCTATTTTTGCCCACATATATGGAAGCGGGGCACTGTGCGCAGTGCCAATTATCAGATTGGTAGTCTCATAAATTTGTAGAAAACTAAAATAATAAAATTGGGAATCTAGCCCCAACCACCAAAAAACGATTTTTTTTTCAAAATTTTCTTATTGATGCAGAATGGCATCTAGATGCTCTACGGGCATTTCTGCATCAAAAATAGAGTTTTTGAAAGATACAGTATCGGTCATATCTATAGCACGCCATTTCGAAGTGATATTGTGTGCAACTTATGTTTATTTGTTTATTTTTGAGAATTTTCAATTAAAATACAGTTCTTTCTCTAACAAACCCCATATAAACCCAAGTTTAACAATTTGTAGAAAACTTCAAAAAAGTGCAACAAATTTTCACCTAAGTTTCAAACTTTTTTCTCGGAAGTGTTTGAATTTTTCTGAAGTTTTGGATCGTGAATTTATTTTTTTTTGAAGAACACGAATTGATCCAGTAAATCTGAGTATGAGGCATTATTGATATGGCCAACAGCTATCAAACCTGATATATTCGCACTATAGGTTTTTTTGTGTTCCACAGTGTTATATAAGGGATTGTTTGAGGAATCATATAAGGAATTATACATTACACAAGTGTACGTATATCCGAAAACGTGTCATGTTTTATTTATTTGTTTTCGAAATCAACGATATATTTCAGAATTTATAATTAATACGTTGTGTTCATTTTAGTAAATCCACTTTGATTTTTGATTTTACAAAATTTGTTATATACACTCCTCGAAATTTTATTAAAGGCATTTGCACTTCTACCATTAATATTTGTTGCAACGATTACGCCACACTCTTTTTGCTCTGGTCTTAAGTCTTTAAACCTCTATTTATTCTGGCACATAAAATATGCCAATATCGTACTTCTTTTCTAAGTATTTGTGAAAATTTCCGTTTAGTGGCTGATTCTCCTACGAAATTCAATTAAAGGTAGTCGTTTCTGAGTTTCAGAAAAAGTTAATTGAGAACGAGATCGTTTTTCTTTTGATGCCATTTTGAAGGTTAAGTATTTTTTAAGGCATTTGAATCTTTATACGCGTGAGTTTTTTCAAAAATTAAGCATGGGAAAAGGAAAAACGCTCACAACCGCGGAACTTGCTCAGATCCTTGCTTACAAGGACACAGGCATGTCCAATCGGCAAATCGCGGCTAAATTGGGTCGGTCTGCTACAGCAATTGATAACGCGATTAAGTTATAAAAGAATTATAATACTAATCGGTCGAATAAAAATAATCAAAAAATCTCTCCTCGGCAAAAATCCGCTATTATTCGCGCTGGGCTGGAAAGAAACGCAACCGCTTCCAAAATTGTATCAGACCTTAACTTACCAGTATGTAAACGTCGTGTGCAACAAATTTTATCCAGCAGCGATCGCTTAGTTTGGAGAAAAATGAAATCCAAACCGGCATTGAATGAATCCCACAAAACAGCTAGATTAGCCTTTGCAAAACAGCACATGTCATGGATCGAGGAGTGGAAAAATGTTATATTTTCTGACGAGAAAAAATTTTATCCCGATGGACCTGACGGTTTTAATTACTATTGGCATGATTTGAGGGGCTCTGAGCGCTTTTCCACCAAACGAGACGTTTGGGCTGGTTTCAGCCACTACAAAAGGACTCCAATCTGCAAAATTTCCGGACGTATGAACTCGGAGGACTACATAAATCTTTTGGACGAAGTTTTGATTAACTTTATGGAAGATCTACCGGACACAAATGCGACATTTCAGCAAGATAATGCTGCAATACACGCATCACGTGCCACCCGCAGTTGGCTTCGAGAGAAGGAAATTCTTGTTTTAGAGTGGCCATCACGATCTCCAGACCTAAGTCCGATTGAGAACATGTGGGGCTATCTTTATCGTCGAGTATACGCTGGAGGACGAAAGTTTCATTCGATAGAACAGCTCGTAGCACCGTAACTAAAGAGTGGTCCAAAATTCCGCATTCGGAGTTCCAAAAAGTGATATTTTCGATGCCGAACCGCATTTTTGAAGTTATAAATAAATCTGGAGGATGGACTCATTATTAGCATAAGCATTTTCTGAGTTTTCTAAACCATTTTTAATAATGCCTTTGATTAAATTTCGCAGCTGGAGTTTTGAATTTCGCTTTTAAATTGCATTGTGAGCTCGTAATTGGATATGTAAGCAACTTTTTTTAGTTGTTAACTCTAAATGAAATATGTTGTCTATACTAATAAAAAAACAAACATTCTCGCGGTTTAAATTCACGGTTTTTGAAGAGAAATTAGGCGCCTTTAATTGAATTTCGCGGAGTGTATGTGCATACAGGATCGGTCATATCAATAACAATATATATATATAATATTCCAGAGTGATATTATTTCCCACTCATGTTTATTTATTTATTTCTAGAAATTTGCATTAAAATGTAATTAAATTTCTAACAAAACCCATATGAACCCAATTTTAAAACTTCGTAGAAAACTACAGAAAAATACATCAAATTTTCACCCAAAATTCAAACTTTTTTCTCAGAAGTGTTAGAAGTTTTTTGAGCACACAGTTTTATGGTATCTTCAATTTTAGTCTAGTTATGTTAGGGCTGCCAGACGTCTTGGTTTTCCCGGACATGTCCCGGTTTTAGACTATTTGTCCCGGTGTCCCGGTCCAACCTTAAAATGTCCCGGGTTTTTGATTTGATTGCACAAATTTGAATAAAAGATCAAACATCACTACACTAAGGGAAAAAACGCGTTGTAATATTCAGAAAAATGTTATGAATTCACTGACGGAAATAACGCATAGTAAACATGAATATTTTCTATTTGATTACACTGGTCTACAAATTTCAACTTTTTTTCTGCGAATAAGACGGGACCTGGTGTTTCTGAACGGATTTTTCGTGCTGAACACGAATCCGGGGTCAAAAATGTCCCATCACGTCACGTTTTCGAGAAAAAAGGGGTTGAAACCCCTAAAAACAGCGTTTTT